AGGCCGTGGCAGCCGTGGTAACTGGGGAGCAGTCTCAAGCTGGCGGTAGAACATGCCAGTGTGACCCACATGATGCTAATTTTTCAGACATGCAAAAAATGCCAGCATCTTGGAGGCTTGCACCCAGGTTCCGGAAAGCCACTGAGGCCAGGTGGTTTGTGACAGTCTCTGTAAAGAGGCCCTGAAAGACTATTGTGTGAATGGAGCTGGAAAGATGGCTCAGTGGTTAAGGCCACTGGCTGCTCTTGCAGAGGACCTGGGTTCAGTTCCCAGCACCCACATGGTGGCTAACAACTATCTGTAGTTCCAGTCCAGGTGTTCTGACACCTTCTTCTGGCCTCTGAAGCTACCAGGCACATATGTGGTACACATATATACATGTAGGCAAACACTCATATACACATATAATAAAAATAGTGGACTGGAGAGATGACTAATCGATTAAGATCCATTGCTGCTCTTCCAGACTGGAGTTTGGTTCCCAACACCCCTGTTGGGCAACTCACCATCACCGGTAACTCCAGCTCTAGGGGATCCAACATCCATCCTCTCCTGGCCTCTGCAGCACCCACACACATGTGGCACTCAGTCACGCAGACATACACAAATACATATAAAAAGAAAAATAAATCTTAAAAATATAAAAATAAATAAACTTAAAAAAAAACCCTATTGTATGAAGCCGTAAAAGTGAGGCCCAAGCTGTGGTGGACACCAGGATGTTGGAGACGCCAGGACTATGGAATGTCTGTGGAGCTGGCTCGAGAGAGATTGCTTGTGCTGGAGCTGGCTACCCAAGGTCACTGGAGTCGAGATTATTCGCCCACTCACCCCAGATGTCAGACAGGCAACTTCAGGACCTGGTGCTCACCCTACTGAGTTTTGCTCTTGCTTTGGTAAAATCTTTCTTTACTGCCCTTCCATTCCTCCCGTTTATAATTGGGATGTTTACTCTTCACTGTATTTTGGAAGTGTGTGGCTTAAATTTTTTTTCTTTATAGGGGTTCACAGTTAAGAGATTGCCCTGGGTCTCAGAAGTGACTTTGAACACTGGGCTTTTGAACATGTCAGGACTGTTAAGAATTTGGGAACACTTAAGAGATGCACTAAATGCATTTCATATTCTGAGGTGGCCATGAGCCTTTAAGGACAGGGTAGGACGTTATGATTTAAAAGTGATGTGCCTCTGTGTGTAGTTAACAAGGGGTGGACTTGTGATGCCAAATCTTCATAGCCAACTT